GAGCAAGCCATCCTAAGCCCATAGAAATATTAGGTAGTCAGTGCACAAACCCATTAGATCCAATACCTCTGCCCCACGCCCTACTTTCTCCTCAAAGGAATCCTGCACTTAGCATGCTCCCTAATTCCCTTCTACCTATGATCTCTTCTCCAGTTAATTTCTCCTCAGAGACTTTTGTAGATGCGTGAGCTCACATCCATTATAATCCCTTAACTTTTTCAACTCCTTTACAATTATCTTTCTCTCTTTCTTAATTCCATTTGTGAGTTTCCATAAAGTGGTCACAATTAAACAGCATTAGATATGATAAAATTGAATTGCAAATAGGTAAGCCACAAGTATGGACGTAAAATTGAACATAATTGAAAAATCCAGTGTTGAGTCTCTAAAACTTCTAAAAATACTTAAAAAAAAAAACTCTTCAAAATTTCCCTCCATCTCCTCATTGTCCTCTAAGTAAACCTTCTTCCCCTCAAGTAGCAACATTAGAAATAGAAAATACATTTAATGCCATTGTTCTCTTTTGGCTAACTACTATAGTAACTGTCATGTTCTTTATACATTCCATGGCAAATATTTAGTTTCAGGTAGATAACAGGTCAACAGCCTTTGATGGATTACTGAAAGAATGCAACCATCATTTATATCATCATTTCTACAGGAAAACTTGTTTCAAGTGACCAGATCCCAAACAAACCCAGGAACATAAAAATTGAGTTGCTGACTTCCTGCAACTTGTTTATTTGAAACATGGATAGTGTATGTGCCAAATCCAACAGAAAGAATTATCCACAGTCTTCTAGCATGGTTTATCTAAGTTAATTTTTTTTGAAAAGACTACATGTTCTTTTTAGAGATTTAAAGTTGGCCTTGGGAATTGGATGGGAATTTATACATAACAGGAGGCTGTTTCCAACCCTGAGCCCCTTAGGAAGGAGAGAAATTACATAAGGGATGGAATATATATTATAATCTCATAGGCATGCTTAAGATTTTCCAAAATATCATCACCATTTCTGGGAAGGGAACTGGTAGAACAGTGAGAAGCATTCCCTTTAAAACTTCTTAGCTAACTAGAAAATGAACAGTTCCAGCTTCAAAATGCTTCGTTCCTTTTTGATTACAGCAAACAAATTTCCAAATAAATAAACTTCATTTCTAGATAGGGGAAAGAAACTTTACTGTTACAAGGTTCACTGCCACAACAGAAGATCAGTTAATCTAGAATTGTTTAAATTTTTCTAAATATTGATTTTGGAGGTAAAAGGTATTAACAAGGAATTGAGAGGTATGATTCTGTGAGTACTCACATTTAAAAGAGAGACAGATGCAACCAAAGAAACTTAAGGCCTAGCTTTCAATCGGGTTAATATACCCACCTTGATACAAAGTAAAAAGAAAAAGTTCATATTTAAAACGTTATGAGGGATCAAAAATAGGAGCTTTCTTGTTAAATGAACTTGGGTCCGAAATCCATCCTCCCATTTTTCTGCCTCAATGTATTAGTTTTTATTTTTACAATTTAGAAAAAGTACTGCAGAAGCACTCCGTGCAGAATACATTTACTTTCAGGTTATTGTGGATAGTAAAAATAATAAAATTAATTAAATTACTCTGCACATTGCGATTAAACCCAGTAAACCCTTAAAATATGCTTGTTAACTTCAAAAATTATTTATAGGATGAAACTACTGGCCGCCCCTAAACTTTTCTTTCCAGTAAAACACCTAAGAGCCTGAATAGGGAACTGAAAACACGAGCACTTCCAGTCCAGTTCCTCCACACAAGGGAAAATTTCCCAGACTGCCTTACAAATTAATAAATGTCCCTGGAAACCCTGACTTAGTTTCACTTATCTTTAAAAAAAGTAGCTAAAAGGTCATTTTCAAACTTTAATAATAATAATATATGAAAAACAACAGAATCCCTGAATAGTTGCCCTAACCACACAGACTGCACTGTAAGCTTGGCCAACATATATGCCCTTTAGCAAATAATTCCCTCTGCTCATCCTCTTTCCCTTCACAGTCATATTACATAAGGCTCCACATCACAGGGCATTCTTTGGGAAAGACCCAATACTAACCACTGCCAAAAAATAAAGAATGCAGGAATCAACAAATCGAGTCCCTTAAAATATACTTTTTAAAAGAAAAATATTTGAAAGGAGTCATGGAGCCACAAACTACCGATAACGTGCTTGAGGTCCCTGCAGAAGTACTTCACTGCCTTCTGTGATACTTGAATCTCTGGGGAGGTAGTAACAGTTCTCTTCTATGGCCAGAATTTCCAATAGGCATTGAATGAATGGAGCTTATATCCTGTTCCATCAAAATGAGAACACAAAATTAAACCATAAGCCATTCTGATGAATATTTGTTTACTCTTGTTTTACACAAAGTAGAGAAGTAGCTTTGAAAAGTTGCCATGGCCATGCTTTTCCTGAGCACTAGACTAAAACACTTCAGTAAATATAGAAATATATACACACACAAATGCAAATGTGGGTTCTCTCCCTTTCTAAAATACTGTATATGTGTGGATGACATATGTGTGTGCAACTCTGTGTTTGTGTGTGTGTGTGTGTGTGTGTGTGGCATATGAACTAATTGAGAAGACAGCATGTTACCTATCTGGATGTTTGGTGACACATTCTCAGAGCCCACTGACGTTTTGGCAGGCGGCTGCCATGACAGGATTTCAGGGTGCTTCTTAGGGGCTTTCTTATCTTTCCAAGGCTATCATGATAGATGGAAGCCTAGCTTCCTCTAGGGAAGAGTTAAGTGGGAATGACAACTGCTATAACACACTTTCAGAGTAAGAGCAATTCAGAGGTGAAATTCTGAGATGCAGTATCAGAAATATGCATATATTGCCAAAAAGGCTGGCAACTAAGTTGGAAGGCCATCGATAAGCAAACTGATTCCTGATTAAGGTTCCCGCCAGCCTTTCTAAGGTCCCTGAACCATGAAGATAATAAGTCTTGAATAGTATTTAAGTAGGAGCTATAAGTAGATAAAAATTATTAGTTTCATTTAAATGTTTAAGCCACTGGAAACACCTGTCCAATTTCTTTTGCAAGGATCTGATGGATGGCCACCGCACCCCTAGTGTCACCTTTAATTCATAACAGCGCTCAGATAGCATCCTTCACTAGATAAATTTGGTCAACGCAGAGCAATAGTGTTAATTCAGCTCCAACACATGTCTTTGTTACAGTTCTCATTTCAGTGTAGGCAGCTCAGATAAGCTTATCACAGGGCTTCGAACTGACATTCTGGGGTGGCACAATAGACAATATTACCAAGAGAATCATTAATAAGCATCAAAAAATATTACTTCCTTCAAAGATACTTTAAGTCCATAGTTTATAAGGCAAGAAGTAAAAGGAAAGCTCTTCCACTTCCCCGTGTAAGATTAAAATCTAATCAGAACGTGTGCAGATTTATTCTCAAGTAATGCTACGTGAAATTTAGCTGGAGAAACCTAGTACCTCTATAGACACAAATTTTTTCTGAAGAGGGTAATCCACGTGAGCTTCTAATTGAAAAGTTCATCAGTAATGCTCTTTCTCGTTTGTTTTGCCTTGTTACTCAAAGGTTAAATCCATTTTGGATTTCATTTTGAATTAATGAAAATGATTTAATCTTAGAGCATTAGTAATCTCACTTTATTTAGGCCTATATTTAAAAAACTAGCTTGAGAACCCTTTGCAAACAAGACCAGTCTCCACAGCAAAATGATACCCAATCCCTCTTTTCAGGCTATTTTCTAAAATCTGTGGGCCATGACTGTAGAATTCTTCTCTCCCCAAATCACATTAACAATGTTTGACATGATGACAGAGAAAGCAAAAAGAATTCATTTCTGCTAAATAAGTACAGGCAACGCTTCTGTTTTTTGCAACCATTCTCCTCTTATTACATTTTGGTAAATTTCTAAGGAATGTTTAAAATCTGTAAGACAGACCTTGGCTTAAGAGGTGGCCTCTCTGCCATTTTCATGGCTGATTTGAGACCCATTATGCACTCGATTCCGCATTGTGAAATCCAGGCTGGGGACAAATTTCTGCCTGTCATCTTAGGAAAGGCCAGGAGTTTTGCACCATCCTGTAGTGTGAAAACAGAAAATCAAAGCCGGGGTAGGGCTGCCTGCTTCTTTCCTAATCAGCTTGCTGCTTTTCTGAGGCACTCTTGGTTGTCACCATCTCAAGCTTAGAAGGGTAATTTAGTAGAATAAAATAGAGTTTAAACAATATCTCCCCAGGGAAAGTTCCTCCTTACACTTAAAATTGAATGCAAAAAGGTAATCAGTTAAGTAATCATTTGATGCTTGGCTAAGAACCATTGCATGGAGAACACATTTAGGAAGCACAAAATTCTTTTTTTTTTTTTAACCTGATAAGACCCCTAATCAGAAGCCAAGAGTCCCAGATATTTTCCTCATATTGCTCACTCTGTTGCAATGACAGCCCCATAAAACTATAGCTTATGGACTAAATTTGTTGCACCTCTCACCCCAACAGTATGATGTAAATTGCAGAGATAAAAATATCTTACAAGAATTTTTAAAATTTTTAAACAGTTCACCGAAAATGACAGCATGCATAACTCTGTCAATGACCTCTCCTGTCTAATGTTAATTTCAGAAGACAAGTTTCCATTGTAAATGTTTAATCAGTGTAGTCCCAGGAACCCAGAGCAGAAAACCTTATCTTCTCTCCCAACTTCTTTGCTTTGCAAGCTCTTTGCTAGCTCTGTCTCAGCTCCTTGCAAGCACTTTAGGCAAGCTCTGTAGGTTCTGAGCTAAACAAGAAGCCCTGTGGTTTGATTCCATTAGTCTGAGCCCTGGTCCGCTGCAAGCAAACTGCAGAATTTCTGCTTGCAAATCCTGGCAACCAGGTTCTAGACCAGCCACAAACACAGACTGTACACATAATTCAACACTGTTCTGCCCAAACCTTGCCTGAAGCCAGTCAACCACAGCAGAAAGCATCCTACCTTCCATCATGGTGGCAGAATTGCATTCCTTAATTTCCAAAGAGTCTGAAAAAAGACAGGAGGATACGATTCCAGGTCCCAGCTAAGTCCTCACAACGCTGCTGCTGCTGTCGAGAGATCTGCTCTGTCCGATGCTGAAGCCAAAGGAGACAAGTGTTAACCCCAAAGATAGGCCATGGATGCTTGTGGTGCTGCTTCACCTACAGGCTCCCAGGAAGATGCTGCGAGAGAAAGGGAGAGGAACAGCAAGCCGGCCAAGCTGCACCGCCTGCGCTGCCTCGGCCAATCCCTTCAGCTCTGGACCGCGTCACATGGTAGCCAGCCTGCATCTCCTGACACAATACCCCCGGAGAGCACACAGAACCTATTTCCCGTCCCCATTCCCCTCCACCCCCATCCCCTCCGCTTGTCACCAAATGCACAGCCCCTTCCCCACCTGGTGACGCACTTCCCCCGCCCCTCCTCTTCGTCTTCTTAAGCCTATTGCAGCGTCTGGGTACCCGAGATTAATTATCAGACTCTGCCACCTTAACCGGGGACGCTGGCATGAAACGAGCACCTAAGTGGCTCGCTGCGGAGGAGACTTTCTTTTCTTTTTTCTTTTCTTTCTTTTTTTTTTTTTAAGAAAAACTTCTTAATTATTCCGTGCAGCCTGAAGTCTTGGCTGCACACTTTCAAGCTCCTATTGCTATCTCCCTTTGCCCTGAAGGAATTCCAAATGTCAGTTATCTGTGGCCTCCGCACACATCTGTGACCCTCTCTCGCGCTCTCTCTTTGCCTCTCTCTCTCTCTCTCTCTCTCTCTCTCTCTCATTCAGGAGAGAAAAATCAATCCGGCTGACGTCACATCATAAACAATTATCCCCAAAAGGATGATGCAGAAGAAATATCACCCCAGTTGCCTTCAAAAGAGCCAGAGAATTAATCGCGCATGACACGCCGAAGGGCTGGGAACTGTCATTAAAACAAAGAAACAAAAGAACCCACCCGAGTGGGGCTCTGGAATCGCACTGGCAACGCTTGAGATAATTTCTGGGGCGGGAGGCGGGAGAGAGGGGAGCAGGCGGGGAGTGAGGCCTCAGCCCGACGGAAGCCAGCTGTGCGCGCCGCTTCCTCCCACTCGGACCTGGGCCGCCGGCCGCCGACCAGACCGCGGGGCGCAGCTCCGCTTGGCGTTCGAATCCCGCCGCCGGCGCGTCCTCGGGCCCAGCGCACACGTGAACCACCGCGCCGCCCACGGCAGTCCCTGTAGAAACCAACTTTCTTCTCAATGACACCTTTCTCGCCAAGCGCCTCTAGCATCCGTAGTCGCCGTTAAGCCCATTCGTTCATTCCTGTGGGAATCCGGCGGGAGATAAACGTGCCGGGTTCCGGCCCGAGGGGTGGGTGGAGCCCAGGGTTACGCAGCTTCCAGGGATGGGGTCGGGGCGCCGTGCTGCTATTTAAGTGGCAAGGGTTATGACACCCCAGCTGCTTGGGTTGAGACTGTCACCCGACTGGTCCCTAGGGATCCAGGAGCCGTTAAGAGGGCTCCAAGCCCCGGCGTCTGGCTGTCCTCGTTTCCTTTCAAGCAGGCTTAGCCCTCAGAGGGCCAAGGAAGGAGAGGGCAGGAGGAGTTTAGGAGGCAAGAGGAGAAAGAAAGGAGATGGGCAGGGGAGGAAAGTCCTCTCTAGAACCCTAGGCGACAACATCCGGCAACGTGACTGAGAGAAAGGTCACTACATCACAGAACAATTCTGAGCATCGAATGAAATAATTTTAAGAAGTATGATGCATGAGACCATCAAGGTTGAGTCTCTAATACTATTATTAATTATTTATAGTATAAATATACCCATGAACTTTTGATATTGCCCAGCCCTTGTCATAGTCTAGTTCTTTCTATGAGAGCAAATATGAGGTATTGGTGGCTGAGGACTACTGAAGAAAATATAACTAAAGGAGCTAACTGAAGTACCATATTAACAGATGAAAAAAATTCAGTTCCTTAGCAACTTAGAAGTTTTGAAAAACTCATTGTTCTCCCTAAGGACACATACTTCAATGGCCTTGAAATTTCAAAATGAAACTCTCCAGGGAGATACATGCTTGTGCCTTATTCTGTATATCTATGAGGTAGTTGAATTTTAAAAGAGGAAAGAATTCCAAAGTAAAACCTGTCTTGAGTATAACTTACACTGCTCTGAAGACTACAAGGGTATTATAGCAAAAATCAGATTGATTAGTGTGGGAGTATTTAGCCAAATGTTTTTTAATGGTTAAGAACATGGATAGATATTGGTGTCAAACAGACTGGGATCAAGTTCTGTCTCTGCCACTTCATGAGCTCTAGTGGCCCTGTACAAGTTATGTAATTCTCTGTGACTCACAGCTTCCTTATCTGCGAAATGAAGATAATAGTACCAAGTTCATAGGACTATAAATAGTACTAATAACAAATCTTTATTAATGGCTTACTGTGTGCGAAGCAGTGTTCTAAATACTTTGCCAGTAAGTTACTTAGCATTGTGTCTGGAGCATAATATACCCTCCATGTTGGCTTTTTAATATTAGTATTATTACCACCAAAGGGCTGCCAGAGGCATCAAAGAAGTCTGCAGCCAACTCAGTTATACCACATGCACAGAGAACAGCTCAGTGAAAGATTAGGTGATGCATCCAGAGGTGTAACATGTCAGAGACTGCTCTGTAAAAGAGTGGTTACTAAATAAGATAGGGAGCTCTAAAGTAAAAAATTGGCTCAATGTAAAATCTGGAGGTAAGTGTAAGCACTGAAGTGTAGGGCTAGGCAACATTGTCAAAGGTGTAAGGGGAGAGAAGAGCCAGGGAAACCCAGGCTGCCTGGCTTTTCTCACCCAATGTAAGTTTTACAGCGTGTTAGAGCAAACCTCTCAGATAGATTCAATGTGGGCACACATCAGTTTTGTTTTCGACTTGGAGCAAAGCAACTAGCCAGAGACAGAAAGATGGTTCAAAGATTCTTTTGGTCACTGGGGTGGTTATAGAAAAAAGAAAAGTGTCTCGTTAGGATTGTTAGAGAAGGAACATGAAAGGGATGTGTAGTTAAAGGTTATAAGGCCAGTATCAAGACTGGTTGAACTTTATGCAACTTTATCAAAAAAATGTTATCAATTATAAAAGCATCCGATGAACAAAGTTCTGCTTCAAATAAAAAACTGCTCAGGTATGTTATCAGAAAAGTTTAAGCATTCTAATTTTTTCTCATAGGTTTTTTGGGGAAAAAAATTGTTTTCTCAAGAACAAAGACAGTACTTTAGATTGAAACCCCAATTTCATCCCTTCCTAGGATAGTTTTTACTTACCAACAAGAAGGAGAATTTCTAGCTGCTATAATAATGGAATACTTTTTTCAAGTCTTAAATGGAAGTCAAAGGATCTGTGGAAAAGATCAGTCAAATTACTGACTTGCACCAAAATACAGGGACTTCCCAGGAGTCTAATCCAGGATAGCGAGTGTGTGCCCAGATCACACCAGGCTCTCAGAGAGTGCCTGAGATTTGTCCAAGACCAAAAACTTAACTGCTGAAGTCACTAGACATTTAATTTTTTTCTGAGGTATTTGTATGCTAATGATGCCCTATTACACATTGTTTTTTTTACAAATCCTATTATATTTTACTATGCACATTGAATTTCTTCACTATATCCCGATTGTCATGTGTGTGTGGAAAATCAGCTCATATCTCAGAAGGAGGAAGAAAATAATGAGAACTGAGTCACAAATGAAGAAGGAAACAAAATTAACACAGAAGGAAAGTTTTAAAAATGGATCCAGATATGTATCTCCAAGACAGTGATCTCAGCACGACATTGACTCTGTCCCTCTTGCTATCCCTGCTGAGGCAGTTCCATGAATGTAGAAAGGAAAATATTGTCCAAGCCCTGGAAATCAGCAAGGGTCCCACTTAGAGAATTAGATTTCCATAGGATGAAATAGGTGAGGAGCAGAAATTATATATACCCATGCTCAGAATGTTTATACTCTTTGTTAAAAGGAAAAACTCCAACTGGAACTGACATGGGCAAAGAAGGGGTCTATTTGGGTAGCTCACAATATGTGAAGCACTGCACAGCTGAGGGAAAGCAGGAATTCAATCCTCCAGGAAATGTTGTGACCAGAACCAAGTACTTACAAGTCTGTTTCTCCCAGCACATCAGCTTCTTTTTGCTGCCTAGTTTTTCTCCCTGTGATCAGAGAGCTGGCCATTTAAATCCTTTAAGTTCACAGCTTGACTATCTAAGATCTACTTCAAAAAACTCTGATTGACTCTGGCTTGGATCACTGTTCCACCTTTGAACCCATTAACGAGGCCAGGTTGATGAGGTCTCATGATAGATTTATTCAAACCAAAATTTACATTGGACTTAGTCACATGCCCACTACTGAGACTACACGTGGGAGAGAGATAGGCAAGTTTCTATGACAAACAACCTTTAATAATATGAACCCCTAATATGGTTGGAGGGGTAGAAGAGACATTGGTGAAGAAAGAGAGGGAACGATTACCAGAACAAATGTGGGGAGAGCAACTATGAAACAAAAGCTGTCCATCATGTAGACATTACTCAGTACACCTAAGATAAAATTTACAGAAGGATTCATGGTGGCAGAGGGACTCAGAATGCTATACTCAATCCCATTCGGTATATCAGAGAGGTTATTTGTATATTCTCACTCACTATATCCAGAGAGAAACTTGCACACCCTATAGCCATCCTCTTCCTAACTGTGGGGAAGGAGGGCAGAAAAGGGAAGAGCTGACCCTACATGTTGACCCACGGACACCAAAGACATGCCCTGAAATGTTTGCCACCCATTGGTCCAACACTGCCCCGAGAACTAATACTGCAGGAACCTCAACCAGTACTGCAGGAACTTCTATCAGCCGGGAGTACTGCTTTATCTAGACCTACATTGACAAAGGTAAGTGGTAAAGATTGAATACACTAGTAGAATCAGAGGTTTCAAACGAGGGGGAAGGTAAACAATTATAGCTCACTGAAGCAGAGGAAACACCCTCACTGAAGGCAGGGGAAATGTAGAAAACTGGAGAGGCATTTATTAAAAAATCAATTTTTTACTTTTGATACAATTTCAGGGATATAGCAGCAGTAAGTAAGAGCAGACTGCTATGATAAAAGAGCATACTGAGGGCCAGAAAGGGAGCATGGAAGTAATAAAAATATTCTTATTAAAATTTTTAAATGTTATAGTTATAATCAAAGATATGATGGATACTGCCGGCAAGGAATATTGATAGTCCCGGTGGTAATGTGCTTGAAATATAGACTCACAACAGCATTAACTGGCCCAAGCACAACGGTATTCTTTTTCTCTTTGCAGAATCATTTAACTTAGGTA